GGCTCCTGCTTAGGACCCTTCACCTGCCACCAGGTGGTGCTGAGGGAGCGGAGGCTGGGCCTGAACCTCAGCCTCACCAGTCTGCAGACCTCATCCTGGGCCAGGGCCCGGGGACCTGGGGGCAGGACCAAGGCTCCAAGTCACAGCACAGAAGCCCCAGGTGACTTGGGAACATCTGCTCCAACCTCCTCCACTGCCCACACAGGGAAGAACTGGGGTTCAGGGAGGGGAAGGGAGTTCAAGGTCACTTCAGAGAGGTGGTGAGACAGCTGAGAGTGCAAGGGACAGTCTGGAGCTGGCCTGGGCAGGCAGAGGGCGTATGCCCTGTGGCTGTGGGGTGCTGAGAGGGCTGGGGGTGTGGTAACCTTGCATGGAGCAGGGCTGGGGCAGGGGAGGGCTCACGCCATGTAGGGCGACCCCCATCCCAGTTTGCCTGGGACTGTCTCGGATTTAGCACTGCAAGTTGCATGTCCTGAGGGAACCCCTCAGTCCTGAGCAGACAGGGCTGTTTGGTCACCCTAGGGCCATGCTCACAGGTGTCTCTGCTACACTGCCAGCTCCCCTTTCTGAGGGCTCCTCCCTGTCCCACTTGGCCCTCAGGGGCAGGGAGCACAGGGTAAGCAGCTCTCTTGTGTTACAGATGGAAAAATGAAGGCTCAGGGACATGGAGCTCTCTGAGCTACCCTGGGAGGGTCCCTCCTGTGACCTGAGTCCCCAGCTCCTCTGCTGTGTGACCTAGGAGGAGCCACAGCCTCTCTGGTCTTCCCTCCTCTCCTCACTCATGAAGTAGCGCCCTCTTCCTTGCGGGGAAATGATGTCCAAGGAGCCGAAGCCAACCTTCCATCCTTAGGAGCAGGTTAGAGGGCGGGGGGCTGTGGGAGGGGAAGAGGACCTAAGGAAACTGCAGGATCAGGATCATGCTGGGGTGCGGGAGTTGGCAGACTCAAGAAGGGGAAAGAGACAAAAGCTCAGAGGTGGGTGTGCACGTGGGGATGGGGTGGGGAGAGACAGAGGGAGGGAAAGGCTTTCAAAGAGAGAGTGGAAGAAATGAGTTATTCTAGTGTGGTGAGGTTGGGAAAACTGCACTGAATCTTTAAACAACCCTTGTCAATTATTCATCTGCTGGTATGAGGGCCCTATGGTCCGCCACAAATCTCCTCTGAGCGGTAGAGGAGAGGAGGAAGGGAGGGGGGAAACAGAGGGAGTTGGAGAGAGAGAAAGAGCCAGAAAATCAGAAAGAAATAGAGAAATAGAGATAAGCAAAGAAAGACAGAAGCAGGTAGAGACAGAAATAGAGGGGGTGGGGGGAGGGGGTGGAGAAAGAGAGAGAAAGGAATGGAAGGAGGGAGCCAGAGAGAGGAGGGGAATGGCCCTGTTCTGGAATTTCTGTGCTGGAAACAGAACTGAACACATGCTTCTTGAGTAGCAGCTGAATACCTCTGCCTCTGTTCATCCAAAGCATAGCCTGCCTCCTCCAGGAAGCCTTCCTTCTCTTCTCTGTCTTTACTGAGGGCTTACTAGGTGCTGCTGGGGAAAGGAAATCTGGGCCCTGGCAGGTGTCTTATCAGCCCTCTGTGAATGGAACCAGGCCTGTCTGGAGGCTGCACAGAGTCCTGCATCTTACCTGCTCTCACCCTGAGACATTGCCTGGCTCAGCACGAGGTGGGCTGAGGGGGTCCAGGGGGTGAGGGGAACACTTGAAAGTTGACTAATGTTTAGAGCTGCCATGGTCAGGATGACTCTTACCATCTCACTCCTCACCCTCACTTAAAAGCCCACCTCTTCCAAAAAAGACTTCCTGGGCTGCTCGCAGGGAGGTGAAGGCTTCTTCCAGCTCTGCTGGGCCCTACACTTGACCCAAGATCACACCCACGGGCCCTGACCCCAGTGCATCTACTCAGGTTGGGAGCTTTGCACCATGTTGACAAAACGACACTTAAAAGGCCTGTGTCAAAACCAGGTGTCCCAGATGAAGAGAGCCCGAGATGAAAGAAACGGCAGTACTATAACCTGGAAAGAGGGTGGATCCAAGGACATACTATGGGGAGGGGCACCCAGGAGGTAGGGCTGTGGGGGTGGCACTGACTGGCAGACCCAGGGCAGTGGGGAGCATCTGCAGCATCCTCCCCACAGAGAGGGTACAGACCCCTCCGTTTCCTTCTCCATTCCCAAGGTGCTCCTTTCTGCAGAAAATGTTCAGTTTCCTATTAAGCCAGAGTAGGCCCTGGAGGGAATCAGAGGCAAAATTGTTTCTTGGGCTCTGGGGAGTGTGCACAAGACTAGACACAGACAAAGGCACTCCAGGAGTCAGGCGATGCTGAGAGGCTCACAGCCTGGATGCAGCGGCCAAGAGCCGAGGGAGGCAGTTAATCATTTGCTGACTGTATGACCACTGCCACGTCACTGGGGCCCACTGTTTCACCCCCAGGCTCTTCTGCTGGTGTCCACTCCTTGACCATAGGTCCAGGAGTCACATACCTTGTGATGGTGTCATTGCCACCCAGACATGTTCCTGTGCTAGTCAGGCATCTTCCACCGCTCTGTGACTCTGTCTACAGCTTACAAGCTGTGTCTGTGTGCATCACTATGTTCTATGGTTGCATCTTCCTGATACCGTGGTGTCTGATAGCTCTGTGCAGCTTGGGTCTATTACTATACAACCACACTTGATTGTTCCCTGACCACAATCTATTGCTTGTCACTGTGTCTCTTGGTCGCATGAGCTGGTCCATTGCTATGTAATTTTGTTTGGTTGCTATGGAACAGTGACCCATTGATACACGGCTACCTGTGATTGTCACGGAGCTGTATACTGTTGCTACCCACCCACATTCTATTGCTTGTGACTGGGTTCTTCTGGCTGCGTGAATATGTCTGTCTAGGTCCTGCCCTGGTCCTTCCAGGCTCTGGCCAGTGGGCAGGAGCTGGAGCTGGGGGCTGGGTCTCCAGGATCCAACAAGGGCAAAGTGTCAGAGGAGGGAATAGTCAGTGTGGTAAACCTGAGACAGAGAAAGAGAAAGGGTGGGGGAGGGCAGATGGCATGGTGAGTTGCAGAACTGAAGGCAGGGGTGGGAGGGTAAATGGAATTGAGCCCAGAGTTAGGAACAAGGAGGGAACAGACAGGAATGGGCCAGGGAGAGGGGCAGGGCCACTGCCCTGAATAGTATGTGTCTGAGGGACCCAGTGGCGTCCGGTTGGCTGAAGGGTCCGGGGCTGGTGTGCAGGCCTCTGTAGCCATCTGCTGTTTGCTTGGCTATACGTGAGGCAGTACGGGATAGTAGGGTGAGGAAGCCTTGGGCAGCGTTGTGCCACTTCTGGGCTTCCCCATGGCCAGCCTTTGTGAAATTAGGAGATTGGACTAGCTATTCACTAAGGTTCTTTCTGACACCTCTGCTCTCCAGCCAGGGCTTCTACCACGTGGCCCAATAAGCATTTACCTCCACCTGTGTTGGGCCAGGCAAGGCCTGGGCCCTGAGCCCAGAGACATGGAAGCCAGTGTGCTCTTAACTCAAGGGCTGGATGGTGCTGGCTGAGTGCATCTAACCCAACAGCAAACCAGGGAGAGCAGCCAGTGCTTGTGGCCTTGCCAGGCGCCCAACAAGGGGGATGGTAGAGGGACCAGGGAGCCCTCTCCCAGCACAGGAGTGCTGCAGATGGCGTTCAGAGAGGGCATGATTGAGTTAGTTCTACATACAGACCCAACTCACAACATCGCTAACAGCCTGTGGGTATGGGGCAGCCCTGAGCCCCTTGTTCACACTCAGCCTCCCAGAATCCTAGTGCCCTTGGGATACTTGTTTCTCCTCCTCCCCTCTGGCACTCACAATGATTACTCAACCTCTTGCTCAAAAACAGTTCTTCCTCATGGCTGACCTTGACTTCTCAGACTGCAGTCTAGTCCCGCCTCTTATGGTTTAATCCTTAAGAGAAGATCAAGACTAACTGAAGGTATTGGTTTATTTATGCTGCCCAGAGTCTTCAGAGACAAAGTCTAAATCTTTGTGTTCAGCCTGATGGCTGAGCTGGCAAGTTAGGCCTGAGAGCTGCTTTCCCAAGGGGCAGAGGTGAGGGGAGTGAGTGTAGAAGGGGGCCCATGAATGCTCTGGCACCTCGGGAGGGCCCAGCTCCAGGGAGAGCAGGGGCGCTCCATGTGGGAGCATCCTGGGCACACCCAGCAGACAGCAGCCCTTCTTATTCGTCCAATGGGACGTGTTCCAGAAAGGTGCAGAAGTGCCAGGGGAAGATGCGGAGGCTGTCAGTGGAGAGGGGCAGGTCCTGAGAGGAGGAAGTCCAGGGTTTCCCTAGGGGCCAGTGGCCTTGGCTGGGGCCTTTTCTGAGGATCTTCCGGAGCAGCGTTCCCCATGGGATCCACTGTGGAAGAAGGGAGGAAGCCACATATAAATTCACCCAAGGTCACTGGGTTGGGACTTGGCCTGTACTGTCTTTTTGGTGACCTCTTCTTTAGCTCTCTGCATCACAGGGCTAGGACTCGGCACTGAACCCTCACCAAATTAAGACACCACCTCAGCCACCTTTACCCACCGTTTCCCACATCTTATCAACTGGCAACAGGAAGCCACACCAGCTCTCATGATCAAGGACACAGACTCTGTGACCAAAGATGGTGGCCTCTTTTCTTTGAGCGCCAATTTCCTCTTTGAGAAGTTTAATCTCTTGGGGGGCTTCCCATTACCCAGTAGACACGCCCCTGAGGAAGTGCTGAGCTGATGACTTGAGAAAATGGGACTCAGTCTTACAAGTGTTGTAGGGGTTTGTTTTGAAAGAAATCAAATGGGAACCCCATTCAAAAGGTGAAGAAACTCTGTAAACTGAAGAATCCACACCTTCCACCAGTTTAGCTTTGGGGTAACTCACATACAGAGTGTGACTAAAGGGGAGGTCTATTGCCCCCTGAGGAGTGAACCAGGCCCCAGGGGGCAGTCAAACCCCTTCACCACAGCTTCCATCACTGGTCTTCCCAGCCCTGAGGAGACACTCACCAGTTCCCGGGACATCCTGAGCACCTCAGGCTCTTCCTCCGCTTCCTGAGAGGTGGATGTGCTGGAGTCCATTATGGAGCTCACTGTGGCCTTGGACCAGGACTCGCGGATGGTACCCAGCTTTTCATCTAAGATCTTGGGGTCCAGGATGGGCAGAGTCTTGCTGTTCTTTGGTGTCAAGAAGTTTTCAGGCCTCTGAAAGAGAAGGTATACAGAAGTTTCTCTGCGCTTCTCTATCATAAGGGTACCTTCCACTCCCCTCAGGCCTCTCGTCCCCATGGCTCAGGAGGCCCTGCATGTCTGGCCACTGTCTACCTCCTATCACCTGCCCCCTTGCTCACTGGGCCCTAACCACACTGTCCTTGCCATTCCTCTAACAAGCCAAGCTCTTTCCTGCCTCAGGGCCTTTGCATCTGCTGTTCTCTCTACCCAGAGAGCCTCATGGGTCTTTACACGGCTATCCTCTCTCACCATTCAGGTCACAGCCTAGATGTGATCTTCTGAGAGGGGCCTTGCCCTTTGAGATAGAGACCCATCCTATCCAAAGTAACCTCTCCTCCAATATACTCTCTAGTCACATTATCCCATTTTAATGTATTTAAAGTACTTACTCTACCAGAAAATTAACTTTCATAAAACGTGTTTGTTTACTGTCTGCCTCCCTCCTCCCATCCCCACACTAGGATGTAAGTTACATGTAAGCAGGGATCTTGTTTATCCCCAGTGTCCAGTTTATCCCAGTTATCCTCACTGTAGGTGCTCAATAAACGTGGTTGAAAGAATAAATAAATCATTCCATCAATGACTCCCACCCATGATGCAGTACCAACAGCTTCTGAAATGCCTACACTCCTTTGACACCCTTTGCTGTGTAGACTTATTTTCCATTCCATCTCCTCTGTCATCTTCTCATCTCAACACCTGTTAAACAGAGTCTCTTCTCTCTCTACTCTGATGGGCCTCTTGCTCCTTCCATGTTCTTTTTCCTGTTCTCCTCTTCCTCCCTGGCATGACTATCTCTCTCATCTCTGTTTGTCTAGGATTCAACCCCGCTCAAATACCAGCCCCTACAGGAAGCCTTGATGGCCTCCACCCACACTTGCTCGAAGCTTTTCTGAGTTCTTCCAGCCCAAGAGAAGGCTTTCTCTGCTCTCATACTGTTCTCTAATTCCAGGCTTATTTGCTATTTTTGTTTCTCTAATAAAACTTTAAGTTCCTTGGGCTTAGAGACGTGTCTATGCTCCTTTGGGGAGAAGTTACTTTAAAGCTGATGGAAATTCATGGTTAGCTCTAACATGCCCATTGTCAAAGAATCATGCAGTCTCAGGGTTTGTAGGGACCTCAAGGGCGACTCACTTCCACCATACATCAGCTGTTGGAATTCTGTCTTGGCCACACAGCAGACAAAAATGCCACCACCTAGAGTGTTGTGCTAGAAGCAAATAGAACAATGGGCACAGTGCCAACCAGGACAGATGTGCTCAGGGTTAGAGTTGCCTGGATATCTGACCCCGAACACAGTGAGAATGAATACAGGCAGGCTTCTCCTTAAGTGGATACTCTATATGAAAACCCACACATATGAACCAGATGAATAGGGACAAGGACCCTTCACTTTACTACTGGGATCCTTCAAATAATGATTGTTTTATGCCCTTTTAAAATAAGATTTGGTGTGCAGAAATTCATTAACATGAAGCCTTTTTGGGCTTGTGTCAGTAGAGTAAGGGACAGTCATACAAATACAGAGGCATCCAGGCCAGTCTGGGCCTCATTTCCCCTCCATCAAATGGGTACAAGGATAGATAATTACAGAGAGAAAGCAGCTATATGAAGATTCTTGTAATGGGAAGAGTGAAGTATTGGGTGACCCTGAGGCTGACTTTGACACCTATTGCACTCCATAACCAACACTTCCAGGCCTGTTTTGTCCCTGGGTATTAGGCCCGGCTGTCTCTTTCACCTGCTCCTCTCAGTAGCTATGGTTTATGGAGGGCAAGATTCATTTGGAGGCTCCCCACTGAACATGCCAGGTACCTCTGTGTAGCATCTAAGTCAAATGGTTTTGGATTTTCTGGTTGTCTGTGTGGTTTAGATAGGAAAAGGCACCACATCTGTCTCCTGTTCAGAATCGCTGAATACCAGATTGGCTACAGAAGGAGAACTACAGAATGCATACTGGATGGATGGGTGGGTGAATGGATAGAGGAGAGAATGAAATAAAAAGCAACTAGCCAGGGCAAGGCAAAGACCAACTCCCCATTGACCAGGTGGTCCCTGGTGCTGGGGTGAGATGCTGATTCAGGAGCTGTAATGACATTTCTCTTCATTTCCAGGCAGAAAGCCAATCTCAATGCCCTGGATTTCATAGACTGCCATCTAATCCAGTTAAGGGAGGAAGTAGAAGTAATGAAATCAAAGGAGAGGTCCCCAGAGGTGCCCCCATCAGTTCTGAAAGCAGGGACACATTGCTGAGGGAGTCCCCTCCCCCATAGCCTGTCTCTCTGACATCTACCCGGTGTGGCCACAGCACCAGCTGGGTCAGCTCAGTGACCCGGAGCTGACATTTACTGGGCTCTGATCAGAGATAGGCAAGCACCAGGTACTTCTATGTACATTCTGAAATTTATTAAGTATAATTCACTTAATTTCATCACAAAGATAAAATAAAAATGAGACTGATCCCTAAGTCCAGACCAGTGCCTTCACCCTGTCAGTCTCCGGTGGGCAGGGAGTTGTCCCAAGAGGGAGGGAAGGAAAGGTAGAGTATCTATGGACTTCATTCTATTCTGCCCACACCACCTCCTCCTGATGCCCAGCTGCTCTTCCTCTAGCCCTGACCAGACTCAGTGGCTCTGCTCTGCTCAATCCATGGCTGGCCCTGGCCTGTATTTGCTCCCATAGGTGCTTCATGCCAGTACCTCCTACATCCTATCCCCTACCACTGCAGGTCTCCTGCCCACATTTCCAATCCCCTGCCCCAATCACCTTTGCCAGGATCCATCCTGGCCTGGGGGTTGGAGGCAAGGTGTGTGGGTGACTTTTATAGAAAAACCTGGACCTCCACATAATACAGGCCCCATAGGGAAGTCCAGAGGCAGCTGCTCATGTCACGTGAGGTGAGGGGCACCAGGAGGACCTCAGTGCCTCACACAGTGCCTAAATTCCTCCTAATAGTTCCCTTTCTCTAGGGCCAACATTGCCTCTCCAGACTCCTCAGCTTCAATCTGCCCATGTTTGGGGAGGGGATTGTGCTCCTTTCCTTGCTCTTCTGGGAAGGGAGCTTGTCTGAGACTAGAGGGAGGGGCCAGGCTGCAGGAGATCAGGGTGGGTTAGGGCGGGTCAGGGTGGCGGATGGGGTGGGGGACAATGCTAATATGGGGATGGGAAGAGGGTGGAGCCTTGGAGATTAACTTCCCTCTATTCAGGCTCAGCCTTGCTTTGCTCTCCCTCTTTCCTCTAGGTGGGGATGGGGACTGCTGGCTCACTTCACAAACCTGCTTATTTGTTTTTCTATTTGGCAGGCCCTGTCCTGCCTGCTGAGGCAGCTTGGGGCTGACAAGTGGCCCCTCACTCTGTGGCTCCGTGGCTGCAGCACGTCTTGCTTCATTAGGGCTGTAATTGGAGACCTACTTTGAAAGCTCAAAGTGATGCGCAGCCACGCACTGGCTGAGACTCAGAGCCCAGCCCACTGCTACTTGTGCTGCTGCAGCTGCCTCACACCACGAGTGCCATAGTGGGGAGAAGGCACCTCTTCCTCATGCTTCTCAGCCCTCACTGTTGCCCGTGGAGGATGGTCTGTTGAGACAGACCAGGCCAATAGCATCACAGGCTCGAGGCTTCTTGGGTCACTTGTTTCCCCCTCCACCCCTAACATCTTCTGCCTCCCTCCTACTCATTTCATGCCCTACATCCCTGATCATGCAAAATGCAACAGTTCCAGCCTGCCCCGGCAATTACAGACTGGCTGGGTTGCAGCTGCTGTCCTTGGTGCTGAAAATGCCCGCCTTCCGGCCTGCCCGCCTCTCACCCCGCCCTGAGTCTTCTCGCTGAAGCGCACATGCTCTTAATTCAATTAGCTGGCCCTGAACCCTCCCCAGGGAGCCGGGAGCGGAAACTGGCAAATTCTGTTTAACAAAGACATTTGTCCCTCTGCCCCGCCGGCTTTGGGCTCTGCCTGCCTGTATCCCACTCATTAGGTATCTAACAAAGTGCGTCCCAAGAAATCTGCTTCCAATCGCTAGTAATTCAGGAGGCCTGATGCAATTTTCTCCCTGATAAGGGTGTCTCGCCCGCTGGCAAGCGCCATAATAAGCCCTGTGCAGCGGCTCCCTGATCAGTCACTGCTTTGTCATTTCCTGTGGCCACAGTTGTAGGTTCTTATCTCTTCAGCTGAAGGCAAGGCTCAGACACTGGCCCCTCCAAGAAGGCTTGCTGCCTCCCTTGCATATTGCAAGCCTCATTCATGGATCCCACACGGTCTTGCAGCCGGGGTGGGGTTTGAAGCTCTGAGTCTGTCTGCCAGCCTAGAAGGGCCTGAGTGTTAATCCTCACTTGGGCCATGAGTCATTCTCCAGAAAATGGTGTCAGAGGGTTAATATAAAAGCAAGTTGTGTGGTCAGAGGAGGGGAGCCAGTGATAAGGATTTTTAAAAATTCTGGCAGGGACTTTAGAATTAGAGTCCTGCCTATGGCTCAGTGGATGGGCTGTGGGCTCACTCTTGTTAGCCTGAAACTGGTCTTTCTGCATTTAATCTTTCTCCTTGGGTTCCCTTTATTCACATCTAGAGGAACCTTTCTAACATATAAGTCAGATCACACCCTATTGCTACTCAAAGACCTTTCTTAGCTTCCCATCATTTTATGACAAAGTCTAAACCCTGTATCTTGGGACCCAGGAACTCCACAGTCTAGGCCCCATCTAACTCTTCAGTCTCCCTGCCCACAACAGCCTCCATATGTCCCATGTGCTTCAGACACTGTCATGCTTCCATGGCCTTGCAGTTGTAGTCCCTCTGCCTGAAGCACCCTTGCCTTGCCAATTTCAAGCCACCCTTTGTGGTAGAGCTCAAACCATGCTTCTCTGTGACTCTTCTGCTGAACTTAATATGCTCAATGCACCAACCTCAACTAGAACCCTTAGCAAGATGGGCAGTGATGATCTGTTGGCGTGCTTTACTGCTTGCTACAGGTTAG